ATAATTCTTAAAGGTGTTAAAATGTAAGTTGAAATATTAAGATTGCAAATTAATATTTTTTAATATTAGAAAGAACAATGATCCCCGGTTATCAAATACTTGCTTTGTGAGCTATATATTTCATCATGTATTGATGGTTTAATTATTAATGATTTTTTTGAAAAAGTGAAAACGAAGAACCAATAATTTCAAGAATTTAAAGAATTAGTTACTTGCACGTTAATGAATTAATTTCTTATATTTCAGCAATCCCTCTTTAATCAGAGATTACTTGTTCTATATTTGGACCGAACTACTCACATGTAGAATACTCAAATGTAAAATTACTCAAATGTACAGTAACTCAAACTTAGAATATTATTTATTCAAATGTAAAATTATTGAACTTCAAAAAAGAAAGGTAAAAGGATAGAAACAATGTGAAGTATATGTAACACGATGATAATTCAATTATATTCTGTAAGCTTCTTCTACCTAATGGCATTAAGTATGTGCCATGAAGCTAACAACAATCTAATGGCATTAGGTACTCTCTCATAAACAATATGCAAATAATGTGATTTAAATTTTATCATGTTGCTTTTAATTAACATCCAAATCGAATTGATAAAAAATATATAAGACCAGCTCACAATCCTTTTTCACTTCCTTGTACGAAGTAAAAAGGAAGTATTGTAATCGCGAAAAGTTTCAGGCAGCATATTTCAACGAAAATATCCATTTTGACCGCTATCGAATGCAATTTAACGATGTTTTTTGCGTCATATCTGTACGTAAGAACAGAATAAAATACTTTTTTCCTTCAAAAAAATTATAAAACTGCTTTAAAATTAATTCTGAAGAGAATTTTTCGTGGCGTCTGTACGAAGGTATGTACGTACGTATCTCGCATAACTCAAAAACGAGTAGCCTCATAACGTTGAAATTTTGTATATAGGACTGCTATAACATGTAGATTTGCACCTCGTATTTTGGTTGCAATCGGCCGCACCAAACGTATATAAATATATTTATATATATATCCACTCTGTTACCCGGCTCAGTGATCTCAGTTTCCTTACTCTTATATGTTTGTAAATTGTACATTTTTTGCTTTAAAAATGATTGTATTATGTTGTTTTTATCTTCTGGTTAAGGTTTTTATGCCTTTAGTAAATCTGTGTGCAATATGTTTAGAATTATCAGCAATTTTAAAGTTGTTTAATTGCCGGTAAGCGTTTTTTTAATGGCGGCCATTGATGTTTACATTTGAAACAGGAGACTAGTGGATTTGTTGCCAATCTAGAGAAACTTAGCTTCGCAACAACAAACATAACGCCTTCATTTATTATTGCCAATTAAATCATGCTTAATCCTTTTTGGAATTTTGAGGAAATAAGTGTTTAAGATTTACTTCGTAATTTTTAATATAGATATTTTGAGTTTTTATGTATTTTTGCCTTCTCACTAAGTGAGAACTGAATTAATTGAATGAGAAATACTCAATCGTCTGTGAAACACTGTTTCTTTTTTGTTTTGTTTGCTTAATTTCTTTTATACATTATTCTAGCTTTATTATAGTATTTGAATAGAACATGTGGTAACGATTAGATAATTCTATTCTTTAAATGATATAAATTTTGTACATTATGAGTTATAATATGAACGAAATATAATACTGTTAAGTGAATCTAGCGCCAGTGTCGCTATGGTAAACAAATACTAGAGTGAATTTTAAAGAATGCATTTATTCTATTGTGGTTTATGCGCTGTCGGCGAAGTAGATTTAATTCAATCCAATAAGTTTAAATGAAATGCAAGAAAAAATGCGCATAATTTAATACTCCAATTTAATATTCCAATACAAGGAAGTCATGTGGTGTACACATCAGATTTTTTTTTTTTTTTTTTCCTGGAACGCTAAGAACGCTTTTTATCACGCTAAGAATGCTTAATGAACGAACCACTTATCGTCCATTATATCAGCAATGGTAAGATATTATAACTCTCACCTTCAGAACAAAATTTATTCCCTTTATAAAAATTGATTTATTTCACATTTGGTTTTTATTACTATTTAAAATTTTTTTCCTATTTTATTCCTTTCTCATTTACATTCATAATTGAAATTTTTGTATTATTTCAATTTTTAAAGCTACTCCATTAACTTTTCCTCTCATTCCTAAATTCAATCGTAATAATAAATTAATGCAGAGGAGCTAAGAGTAAGAGGGGTTTTAATCCCTCTTACTCTTAGCTCCCTGTAAACTTACCCTTTTAACACGCACGTTACTTAGAATTTTTTTTCATTAAACTTGATTGTTATGACGGCCCTAATTATGCAGGAATTAATGCCCCGCCGAAACAGGCGGTGAGAGATTATGTGCACATGCACCGTCTTAGTTAATTAAAGAAAAAAAATATTCGTAAATTTTGCTTTAAGGCAAATTAACGGATTTTTAAAAAATACTGTTATCTTTTAATTTTATCCATGTATAAAGTTTTAAAATGCTGCTTTAATTTTTTCACTAATCGCAATATTTGTTTTCTATATTAATAAAAATATCCGAAACCATACTATGGAGCAAGTTGTAACAAAATCTCGGGACAAGTTACAAATCCCGATTAACCAACAAACTACCAGATGATTCTTATAGTTAGATTTCCTTCTTTAAATGTTTACATGCCCATTACTTTATTCTATTTAGTTTTCTTTTCCCAAACAGAAAAATTATTTAATTCCTTTCAATTCTGTTTTCTTGTTACTATTTGCCCAGCTCTTTTACAGTTTACCCTAAGTTTGAGGCAGATTTTAACAGACGAATGGTTTTGACCTTTTTTGCTGAAATCTAGAAAACTTCCGAATGTTTGTTTTGTGCATATGATGAATGAATAGTTATACTAGGGTTTCTCAACTTTTTTTGTCCCCCCCCCCATGCACTCCTTTTACCACTAGTAGAAATTCATTCCCCCTCTCCTTTCCTAAAGGTGAAAAATACATAAACAATAATTCGGATTTAATTGTTTTTAGCCTGCTTCATTAATTATGCAACAAAAAGTGTAGAAAACATTGATGAATACAAGAACTTGAATAAAAGAAGCTTTTTCAGTATTCATAAACTAAAATTAAATATTGAACAACTAAATAAAAGGTTGACAGCATCTCCCATGAAGCTATAAAATTTTCAATCTGGTTGAGAATCCCTGTTGTATACTATTAAATACAGCAGTTATAATCAGGGAATTGTAAATGCATTTAAAGATATAAGCATTTTCTCCAAATATTATTTCAACTAGCCCCCAGGACCCGTCACTTGTAACTAGATGTCCAAAAAGAAACAGAATGCTAATATTGTGAATATTCTTAAAGAAGACCATTCAGGGTTACTTTAGAAGGCATTTTCTCCCTCCTTTTCCGCATGCGTTCCTGGTTAACTGGAAGCACACTGGACTTGTATTCGGGAGGTCTGGATTTCGAATTCCGGTGAGGGCACTGCACATTTTTCCCGTCTCCTGCCTCGAAAAACCTAATGACTCCACAGTGGTGTCCAGACTAAAATGCGGTAATTTAAATTATGATTGTTTTAGGTACATTCATAGGATCAACACCAGCATAAGATCGAAACCGGTTTTGAATTGCCTTGTTGATATATGGCAACAGAAAGGCTAGGATGGTGTTAAAACTTAGCGCCATCGATTTCGTATTAGAAAGAAACGTATTGTTTATTATTTCTGAGCTTCTCTGTATTATTTTTACAATTAAGTGGATACTTAGCCAGAACAGATATGTTTCAGCTACTTCATCTGCACTGATTCTCGCTTTTCTCTGGAGTCCCTAAACATACCTTATCATGTTATTGTTAATCTACAGCAGTCTCTAGGGGATCTACTGGAGAACGATAATTCAGTGTTTTTAACATTTGTTTGTGGGTATGCGGGGCTAAATGGAAATGAGAGAGCTGATTAGTTGTAGGATTTATCAACTTACTTTTGACTGATAGTTAATTAACTTTCCTGTTCGCTCTGCTTTTCATACACGCTTTTCATGCCGGAATGTAAATAAGATATTGAGCATTTATTCAGAGAGAGGAAGAAAGAAGTGCTATTTAAGTGAAGTTATCATTTAAGTGCTATTTATCCTAATACCTGAAGCTAATTCTTCTACAGTCTTTTCAGTGTTCGTTAGCGCTTTTTAGTGCTCGCTTCCTAAGTATGTTAGGCGCTATAAGTTTGCTATGAATACAATCAGAAAAGACATTGATGTTAAAGAAAATATTCCAAAATTGTTATTAAAAAACATTGAAAGTTAAAATGACTGAATAATTTAATTATGATTACATCACTTCTGATAAGGAAGATTTTGCAAAATACAACTACCTTTGAGCTCTTTCCAACTATTTTTGAGAGACTGAGAAATAAGTACTTCTTGCTCAGTTTTTTTACTCATTGCTCAATTTAATTTAGTTTCTGTCTGAGCGTGGAAAGTTTAATGTTTATCTTGAACGACTGGCGTCTTAAAATTTATGCTATTGTGATCTCGGCGTTCAGCAAGTGTCTTCTACTCATTTTTTGATTGCCCTTTGCTTAATTACTTTTATAAATTCATTAAAATGTAGATTGAAATTAAGTGGAATTAATTGGCCACCAAAATGTTATGAATTAGTTTCTCTGCCTTCTTCTTACTTTGCTTTTAATGACTTGGTGACTCTTATATTAAATGTTGTATATGATTTTCTTCTCTTGTTCTTTTTTTAATTTTAACATCATATTTGTTTGATTTATTAGTATTATTTAAAGTTGATGTGTTTTCCTTACTTACAGTTTGTAAACCTCGTGTGATACTTTGTGCTGCACAAGGAATTTTATTTTTCATTAAAAAAAAAGAAAGGAAAGAAAATAGAAAAGCTATTTATCCTTCCCAAAGTCGATCTTTTGCAGCAATCCGGATACCTTCAAGGATTATATTTCCAAATATTATCTCTCAAGCAATTTATAATATTTAATGAAATAAGAATCAAGAATGCTTTTTTTTTTCAAATTTAATAATAGGCAAAAACGAGGGAAGCAAGAAGCAGAGTGCTGCAGATTCATTTTCAACAATAAAGAAAGAAATTCATCATGTCAGGCACACATTTGGGCATCATGCTTGTTCAGGGTTGGACAAAGCAGACATCAGCGTCTTGAAGCTCCCTGATTGATGAATGACCTCTTTTGGACATCCGAAAGCGTTGATTCGTTCTTCGAAACCGTAAGGCTTAGGACCTCGAACTTCTGTCACAGCTGGGCCTGGAGCCCTACGTGGCATAGTCGGAGTCCTGACTTCTGGACTGGCGGATCTCCTCTTTTCCTCCTCTTGAAGCATCTGGAAGGTGGGGGACAGCGTGATGTCCACGATATTTGTTAGCTTGGTACCAGGTTTAGCCGGTGCCAGAGTGCCGGGTGTTCCAGGCGACAATGGACCTTGCGTGGACGATGCAGGATTTCCAACAGTAAGCTTAGGTTTCCTATCAAGCAAAGAATCATGATAAAATTTTATGCAAAAACAAAAGGCAGTTTGCATTACAAAATTTATGTTTATTAATATCGTCATTCTTTTTATATTAGTGCTGATTTTTGAAATATCTGCTATTCAGATTTTTAACTTAATTTAATAAAAATATCGAATACAAGGTCACCAGAAAAAATGGATCTGATTTTAAGTCGGTATATTGTTCTTTTTTTATAAATTATTTTTTTAATATTTATATCAATATAATTCGAATATGCCTAAGTTTTGACTGCAAAAATAGTATTGCAATATATTTTTTTAATTTCCACATAAGTAGTATTAACAAATATTATACTTTAAAAAATTGTGTATAGTAATATTCTATTATTTGGCATACTTCTCATTTGAGTGAATTTTTTTATTTTTTTATTAAACTGCTGTCGTTGTTTAAAAGGTCATGAAGCTTTTCACAAGAGTTTGTTGAATTACATTTCAGGTATAAAATGGCTTTTTAAAGTGTCAACACTTAATTGTGATTTTTCTGATGTCCGTACTTTATTTACTGTAGAAAAAAACACCTTCAGTCACAGCATTAGTTCCTGGTAAGGACAAAGCGTATTCCACAATTTTTAGTGCATTATTGTAGGGAACATGGATTTGTTTCAAAATGATGAAATATTTCTAACCATTTGTTCTCTAGCGTGATTTTTGCTGATGCCCAAGATTTAACCTTTTCCTTATCAATATATTTTTTTAATAATGGTACCTCATAAAAAAGATTATTTTCGGAAATACATTTATATGGGAAATTTTGAGTAATATGATCGAATGGTTTTTGCACATCATTCCAATTAAGTTCTTGTTTTAATGTAACCCAATGAAAATAAACGTTTAGTGTCACTGTAATGTACCGTCCACTCTTCTAAATAATCTATGCAATTACTATAGAACTTTTTAATGTGATTCATGATATCTGCACAATTTATTGCACCTTATTCTCCTATCTGTGCGGAAAGTTAACGGAGGAAAATTATTTTCTAACTGCTCTTGACACTGAAATTTTAAATTATTAACTTCATTTGCTACTTCGATTACCGAAACTTTGTAATCTGCGATAAGTTTTGTAGCATTTTTTAAAAAAAGCTACTTGATTGTGTATAAACTCTAGCCAAATTTTTAAAGATTCTTTTTCAACGAGCACAATATATATATAACAATAAGAATATATTTTGTCGTGCTTCCAAAAATTGGGACTTCTTTAAAACGTTGCGGGACGCGGGACAAATTGTTAAAAATCCGGACTGTCTCGCCAAAAGCGGGACGTCTGGTCACCTTACTGTACAGACATGTTCAATCGTAACGACGCCACAAGGTATTAATTGGACAATTCGCATGAAGATAGTAACGGTGCAACAAAAACCGTAGTACATCTTGTGTTGTCCGGCTAATTTCAAGAACTGTTCACCACATATTTGGAGAAATTATGTGGGATACAGCCACTTCTTGCAAAATTATCATTTATTGCTTTTGCTGCAATTATACCAGACAGGATGAGTGAAGAGAAATAGCACATATCTTCGCTGTTTGCAGTCATATTGAAATTTTCTAATTATATAGTAAATAATTTAAATTTTCATTTTTATTATGCAATATAAATTGTTAAGCCCCACAAATCCTTTTTCTACCACAAAAGTTTAAAAATAGGTTAATCGTTTTCTAATGCTCAGTTAGAAAACGCATAAAATATTTTAGTATCTAAACGACATCTATCGATGATATATATCTCTGTCGTTTAGACAGACTGTGTTAACACATTTTAGAACGATTTTGGGACCGTTTGGTTAATATTTAAAATGTAAAGAGCATTTTTTATGCCCGATCTAATAGCCTTTTTTCTGGACTATAAGTCTACATCGCGATATCTAAGACAGAAGGGCATTTTGTAAAATTTTCAGAGATATTGATATCCATTTCTTTTCCACTACTTTCGAGGTATATCAACCGTGGTGGTTTTGTGTTTAGAAAGAGCTCTTTCCAAGAGACCAGAGGTAAAATAGTGCGTAGGTAAACCTTCAAGGTACTTTGCAGGAAAGCGATGAAAAGGCATACATGCAATACCTGTGTCAGTCTTCATTTTTCCAAGAAATGCACTGGTACTCTTCGAAGTATGGCTTGTTGCTTTGTCTTGATGGAGTTTCGCTCTTTGAAAGTCATTGACTTGAAGAAATGGAATTTATTCTGTAAATATCGAATATAAAATTTTCTCTACTTTAAGTAGATTTTTCTCTAAGTTAGCAGCGAAGTCTCTCTACACACGTTGAGTAGATTCTAACGTTTTCTTCAGTTCTTATTTTCAGTTTCTAATTGTAACAGAATCCTGCGAGAATCATATTAGCCGTTACTGAAACTTTCTTTGCATTGACAGAACTAGATTTGTGCATTTGTTTCTCTTTTTACGATAATAAATGCACCTTTTTTTATGCAATTCTTTAATTCCGTGGTTCGGAACTTTTAGACTAACGCGTACCATCTAAACAAAAATTTAGAAACTTTAGTACCATCACTACATTTTAAAACGATTTTTTTTTTTTTTTTTTTTAAATTTCTCAGTGCGAAATTTGGGCCTCTTTAAGAGAGATCGATTTACTTATCAAAAACTTAGTTTTGAACGTAAATTAGGATCCACTTTTAACTTTGTTCTGTATTTATTTTTCAAATATAACATGGAAGAAAATCCTTGTTCATACAAATAGGTTGTGCAAAAAGATCACAAAAATTTAATAGCTTTATTTTAAATGCCTTGAAATTCTATTTATCGGTTCAGCCAAAATAAATAAGTCTACATCGCGATATCTAAGACAGAAGGGCATTTGAAGTTTTCATTTAGAGTTCTATCACAGGAAACCTTCTATCAATTCTCTTTCGTCACGAGACAAAATTTCAGGTACATTTGAACAAAATGGATTTCTAATCCAATTTTCTTTTTCATAATCCCCGGGAAAATATTTATCAATGGAAAATAATGATTTTTATTGTCGGATGCTAGTTCTTTTACTTTCAAATTATTTTTGGTTAGGCAACTTTCTAAAAGTGGTAAAAAGCTTATTAAGTAGCAGCTAAGCAGTATTATTATCCAATTCTTTGATTATTAGCTTGACTTTTTTTTATCATTGCATATATTTTATCTCTAATGGTAAACAAATTAACACTTTGTTTTGTAATTTTAAATTTAATTCATTTAACTTTCCACAAATATCAGCTAAATATGCCAAACGCGCCAACCAGAATTCACTAAATAACAATTTTGCAATTCAAATTTTGAATCACAGAGGAAAATTTGAATTTCTGATCGAAGTTCAAAATGATGATTTAAAACTTTGCATCTGGATAACCACCTTAGTTCTGAATGCAACAAAAGCGTTCCATGTTCACTGTCCATCTCTTTGCATAAAATCGTAAATATTCTTGAAGTTAAAGCTCAGTTTTTAATAAAACGAAAAATTTTCAGTTTGAATGAAAACGATTTTCCAGGTTTTCGGGAATTGTTTTGGCTACTAAAATTTCACGATGGATGGAGGAATGAGTAAATTTAGTTTCAAATGCGCTTTCTTTATCTGAGAAATTTACCAGAATGTTTTTTTGTTAAAACCCAAGCTTCGTCACTGCATACGACAATGCACTTATTTCAAAGAATATCATTCTCAAACATAACATTATCAATTTCAGTTGCTCTATCACGAAGAGATTCACAAAATAAAATACTCTTCGGCAATTCAGTTATCTTCTTCGAAGCGTATGTAAACTAATAATTTAACATATTTCATCCAACTGCAATGCGAAATGCTCACTGCGTTTTATTTTTTTGAATAAGTGTCTCTTTTATGGAATTTGCCATTTCTTGAGTTCGTCGAATTACTATGTCATTTGATAATTATTAAGTTCATTAGCCGCTTTTTCGTTGAATAACGTTAAAACCATATCTTTAGCTGCTGGTAATATAAAGTATTCTCCATTAGTGTGTGACCCTGCCCAGTCTCAGCAGATCTTAGGTTTAGTAGGCTTAGTAACTAGCGTCCAAAGCTTTTTCACTTGAAGTAATAAAATCCTTCATTACTTTGTAGAGACATTAGGATTTTTTTGGAAGCAAGCAAGATGAAAAATTGGCAACGCCCTCGCCGGGAATCGAGCCACGAACCTGTGGAATACGCGCCCAGCGTGCAGACCACCACACCACGAAGACATGCCAAGAAGGCGGGAGAATACCTATAGCTATAGCTTTGTCTGCTATTTTTGAATTTTATTCGACGATACTTTCCTCTTATACTGTTATTCAGATTTATCCTTTAAATTGGCATGCTTAGATTCAAGATGTCTTTTAAGAAATGATGGTTTTGTACTTTGATTGGATAATAATTCACCGCAAACAACTAATTGAGGTTGAGGGTCCATTTCATCTCCATTCCAAGTAAACCCAAATGATAAATAACTTTTATTATATTTCCTATAAATATTTTTTTTTTTTTCTTTTCTATATTCTTACTGTTAGTAGATTGTCTTGGATCCACCAACTGTGAATCATCACTTTTCCGCTTAGTCAATCCTGAGTTCTTCAAAATATACGACGATCGCGTAGAAAAGTAAAGAATGCAAAGTAACAAAAAGACCTCTCTCTAGAGACAAGCAAATCGATGTAAAAAATGATTCAAATTGAAAATAGAGCAATATGAGTCTGGAAATGGTGGCGACATGCTAATAAATCAATCAACTCTAAAAGAATTAATAAGATACTATTATCTTTTGGTAGGAACTTATTTTTATTTCGAATTAAATACAACATTCATTTCTATTACTCCTTTTAAAAACATCATTTATCGCAAATTTTGTTTTGTCTATGGCTAAAAGAATATCTATGAAAATAAAAACGGTTTATTTTGCTAAAATGTGCGAGCGGCTATTGGCTTTGAGCAAAGCTCAGATCGCATAAATTTACGAGTGTTAGAGAAAAATCTTAAACAGGATGGATGCTGGGGCATTTAATTTTTGAATTTATTAGTTATAAAATACTTTTGATGATGTTTTCTTGGGTACCACCTGTTTTTCTCTTGCGTTCCACTGGTTGAGAATCGTTGCTTTGGGTAAATCCTTATTTCATCAAATGCATTCCATGTTTTTTTAGCTTTTTTAAGCTGTAAATCTTGGTTTATTATTTTATTTACTGTTGCTACAGATGTATTCAAATGCTTTGCAATTGGTTTCTGCGTCAGATGACTTTCTCTTGTTACGAATGTTTTAACTTTAGAAATATTGGAAAGAGTATGTGCATTTTTCGAGTATTCATCTTGAGTACTCTTTCCATTCTTTAATGTTTCTTCACTTCACGCTTCGAAGTTTTAATATCTGGCATTTCAGAACTTTTTTGAACTAAGAGGAATATTTCTCTTTGAGAAGTGTCAAAACATATCTTTCAATCCACAGCTTGTTTACATGCGATACTTTGAAAGGAGAATGAATTAAAATGTAGCAGACGATATTTCTCATTTCAGCTGTTGCCTGAAAATTTTATTCCAAAACATTTTTTTAAAATTTATAATCGAAATCTTCCTAAAAAATGTGTAAACACTCTTTGTATTGCATAAAGTTCGTGATGAGTGTTAAGATGTTCATATAAAACAGTGCTCATTTCATATGAGGCAGAAAATTAAAAGAGTGACTCATTTGCTTTAGTGAACGTCTTTAATGATTTCATACGAAAGAACCTATGGTAAATGAGTTCAGAAGTATAACTCTATTGTATTTTTATTCAGTTTAGTTCATTCTACCGATTCTAGTTCTTGAATTATAGTACTCACTGGCAAGATGAGGAAGAAGAATAGCCTTGAGCTGCTTTTCCCCCAAACCCTAGACATTAGGAGCTCAAGGTAAATTTAATGCATTACTGAATTTAACTGTTTGAAATATTTGTGTACTTTTTGAATTAGTTTAATATTGAAGCTTTTAGACTGAATTATTTGTATTACAGCAAAGTACGCAAGAGCTATTTGCGTTTGAAGCTTTCAGCGAATCAATGAGTTCTTTGACATTTCTTTTATTGGCCTTTCCTTATGTAATGCTGTTCTGGTTCTTGGTTGTATCATTTTTTCTTGTACTACTGTTGTTTTGCTTCTTGCTTGTATCATTCTTGCTTGTACTTATTGTTGTTTTGCATCTTGAGTGTACCACTTTTGTCTGTACTTATTGTTATTTGGATGCTTATTTGTTTAAGTCTTGTTTGTATGAGCTTGGATAAAATATATGCTGTTTTCAATAAATACCTTTCAATTTGCTTTGCTTACTGCACTATCCTTATTTTACTGCTTTTATGCGCTTTTATTTATGAGCTTTTATTTTATGTGCGGCTTCGTTGACTTTAAAGTAACATCTAAAATTTATAATATGCTTACTTGTCAAACAGCTGATATATCGTTTTCAGATGGGAACCCTTCATAATCGTTCTTAAAGTGTCAGCACCTTTACGCAAGTTAGGAATTATATCATAAAACAGAAAACCTCATAACAGTGCCGGAGCATAACGGCATCCACATCCTTATGAAGATGTTGTTTCCTAAAAAACAAACAACAATTTGGTGCCCTAGTGCCTGCCCGTTCTATAGTGATAGGCTTTTACGTGAAGTCAGTGATTAATAAAGGAAATTAAAATTCTACTTGCAGGGCGGTAACTCAATATAAAACTCTGTTTACAATGTGGTGGCTGGGAAAATCCTGTTTTCAAAGCGATGGTGCAGTAAAAAGATTCTACTAGGCGGTAACCCGGCATAAAAATCTTACAAATAAATGACCAGCCTTAAAAATTTAAAATTTGATTTAAGAACTTACGTGAGGCTGGGGGAGTTAACCCCAGTTTGTTCTTTAATCGTTTCTTCGACGTTCTTCTGCGAATAAAGAAAGAGAGGAGAGTTGTATTGATGGTGAACTAGCTGAGAACTTTCGTCTAAGGGGCGCTCGAAAGTGGGAGCTCCTGGGGGCAGAGCCTTGGGTTTTGCTGTGTACGTTCCTATAGTTGAATAAGTTGGCGTTGGAAAACTGTTCACAAAAACAGGCTGAAAGAAAAGAGAAGAGTTCAATATTAGAACAAACTATTCCTCAAGGAACATAAAAACAAATAATTGGATATATCATAAAATTTTCGACATAGACGGTCTTGAGTATCATGTAAGAGATCAATTGTCCAAGAGCGTTTAAACTGTGTGGCGTTCATTTTATTTTCAAATATTTCATCTATTATTAATAAATCATGTTTACTTGTTGCTTCAAAAGCCACAAAATTCCGCTTTGTAGTCATTTTAAAAGAACATCTGTTTCCTAAGATTTAAGTGGTTTATTTTATAGAGATCTTCGAAGGAAAAGAACGTGCTATGTCTTCGCCAGGACTCAGACTACGGATCTTCATCTTGTTAACTAGATTTATTAACTACATTCAGTCTACAAAATACAGGCGATGACGAATTATGGTTACGTCAGTTAACTCGAGCGCTCTGCAAGAGACTACTGAGCATTTTCGAGGCAAAAAAAATATGATCAACGAACTGTACTTTCGCGTGGATTCAAACCTCAGATTTCACGAGGATTTTCACAATAAAGCATGCATGATGGGATGAGATAATTTCTTACATTCTTCCCCACAGATGATAGATTTGCGGCGATTGTACAAATTATAATCACGAACGGTTGTTGCCAAAATTGTTGTCGTTGTAAAGCCCTTAATTAATTAATTAAAAATAGTAAGAACAAACTGTATCATAAGATAAGGGAGTACCAGTAGTTCAGGTGAGATGAATTCTTTATTTCCCAACCCTGGAACTTCTCCCTCATTTAAATGAGGACAGGAGAGAGATATTATAGTCAGTCGACCAAATGTGGACAAGATCGAGTTATGGCTACGTCAGTTATCTTGGGCGCCCTGGAGACTATTGAACTTTTCGGAGTAAGAAATATGAGCAATCAATTGTACCGTCGTAGGGCTTGAAACTGCGGATCTCCCACGTACTTCCTGAAAGTATACATTACACACTTACATCCCGGGTGTACACACGCTGGAACCAAAAATGCTTCAAAATATCAGACAAGTATTTTTATTAGCTAAAATGTTTGTATACAGAAAAACAAAACAATTCTGCATCCCATAAATCTTTACTCAACGTTGTAACCCAAAAAGATTAGCATTGTAATGCTTTGTTACTTAAAGATACCTTTGGAATTTTTCTAATAAAAGGCAGAGTTGATTGCAGGTCTCTAGATCTCGATCGAATGTCAGAATCTAGAAATCTTTATAGACCGTTTATTCTATTTAAAGACACCTCTGGAACTTTAAAAGGTTGAATGGATTCTAAGCCTGCAAAACTCGGCCCATTGTCGAATTTGGGAAACCCTGACAGAAGTCAGTGTTTTAGAGACAACAATAATTGATATATTTCTGTTTCATTGAAACCGACTTTAATCAAACATAAACTGTAGAAACCTGACAAAAATTTACCATTCACGTATTCTATTTCTTTCCTTTCATTTTGTTGCAGAAAATATTTCATCTTTCTCCCCAAGTTTCTGTTTAACTATTTTAAGTGATACCCTGTTGGCGGGACAGGTATTTTCTTCATACAACTATCTAATCAATATTTTAACTGGTGTTCTTTTTCTTTAATGATAGATTTGATTTGATGTGGTGTCACCTGAATACGTTGCGGGTACTATGGATACAATGTGATACACACTGAATATGATGTGTGTACTAACACGGGTACGTTATGGTGTTCATTGAATAATTTGTGGGTAATGCTATGCATATATTGTAATACCCACAGAAAAAGCGTGAATACTATTTCGGACACGTTGTAGTCTCCACTGAATTTGGTGTGGATTCTACTACGGATACGTTATGAGTACTACTATGAATATGTTGTGGTGTTCACTGAACATTATGTAGATACTTCTACGGATACTTTGTGGTGTCCACTGAATACGTTTTGATGTACAGTGAATACACTGAACATATTTGAAAATGTTTTGGGTATTTCCAATCAAGCTTATTCAGTTGCAACATATTCAAATCATTGTCTGAAAGTATCATTTTAGTTCTGTTGTCGTATTCAGAAACTGGTTCAAGTTGGAGATTCTGAAGGTAATTTTAAATTGCTAATGTTGGGCTTGATGGGCCAGTCTTGTAGCATATGATCCAGAGAGCATCAGCCATTGCCAACCTAGATGATACCATCAACCAACAGGTAACTAAATAGCCAACAAAGAGAGAGGTAACATTGTTTAAAGAACGTTTAATAAAGAAATTGCCCCAAGTTAATGATAGAAAAACATATATAATAATCTACTAAGGCGCTCAATTAAAAATGCATTTTGTCCTAAGAAGACTGAAATTGGGCCATTTCAGATCTATCTGGGTGCGTATAATAGGCCAAAAAATATGTTTCCTAATGCATACAAAAAATAAACAAAACAGATACACCCTCTTCTTCTTGCAGGTAGAACATCCTAAATGGTGAATGTTATACGAAGAGTCCCGATTTATATATAATGAAATAAGATAATTGCTTTGGCAACCATACCATATTGTATTTGAAGAAATTTTAAAGTGAATGCCATGACACAATTTATAAAGAAGTATTCCTTACCAATTAAAACTATATCATTTCCTTCAGGGATAGGAGGTTATTGCAGTAGGAACAATGCATAATGACATTTTGCTCTTTGATGAACAGCGGGTAAAGCAAAACAGTACTCTCTGCGTTCTAATACATGAGGCATGTTCTAGAGGATAGGCACAGCGGGAAACAACGCACCTGACCCGCAAACTATATATTAGGAAACAAAGCTGTTCTACTTTTTTAATGTATAACCTAGAAGATTTTGAAGGATGTATTTCAAAAAGCTATTTAAAAAATAATCATTTCTCTTAGTACCATAAATATACAGATTTATATTTTTGAAGTATGGGAAAAACTCAAAGAAATAGTTATATCTACCAGTTTTCATTGTGTAAATAATTTCAATAATCTAAATAATTAGTATTTTGTATTAATAAGCATTGTATATTTTAGTAATATACGAGTAAGAAGGAATTATTTTACTCATCTTTTGTTGCAATGACGGAGAAATGTTTCAACGGCTATCTGTAATAAAATATGCATGATCTGATGAAAACAGCAGATGAGGGAGAATTTTTTTTTTTTTTTTGCAAATTAAAAATTTTTTATTTTGAAGAAAAAAGTTAATTTTAAATTTTGCTGACTAAATATTTATCAGTATTTACAAGATAATAATAACGAAAAAGGGAAAATATTCAAATTTACACTTATTTTCTCTCTGAAATCGAAAGTTTGGTACCTGTAAAATACTTTACAGTAATCTCAGTAATTCAAACAGACTGACAGCTAAATGTATTAGTTTTCCGGATTGGAATTCATTTCAAATAATTGTAATATGTTTAATTAATCATTAAATAATTTACTATAAATAAAATTAAAAATAAACAAATTCTAAAACTTTCTACGTTTTCAGAGAAAACTTTCCAAGTGAAGAAAAATTCGAGAATAAATAATGAAAACGTACACCCTTTCTCTTATTCATTAAATTTCTCTCCGACGCCTAAATAAAACTACAATAATACATGTGTGAGTAATTATAAATTTTGCATGTAAATAAAAAAAATTAGTTTTTCATCACGGATTACAGATTCTCATTGCTAAATCAGGTTCTTTCCTTATTAATGCTCTATTTTGAAAAACACCCGTTCCCATTTAAATGTGTTCCTAAGCAAAGCGATCCTTAGTGCAAAACTCGTAACTACAACGTACTTATTTTTTGACAATTGTCTATGAAATTTAATTGCATTTGTATTTCAAGTCTTTGAATAAGATTTATATCCCACTATAAATTAATTAGCTCAATTTATAGATTTTCTGCTGTGTTGTTTTTGTTCGTTTTAAATGATAATGAAAGGTAATGTAAATTCCAACTTCAAATAATTAAAATGTTTAAATCTTTACTGCAGTAATGAGAATAATGAGAATAATAATAAGTACCTTGTAAGTTTTCTATAACGGTAAGTAAATTTTTAGGTAGCGTGTATTCAAATGAGGTAGTAATAATACAGTATTTAAAGCAAGGTTTTAGATTGCAGAATCAGAGCATGTTCCGCCTACTGAAGGCCACGTTTACTAATTGATTCTCATGAGAGCAGTGTTCTACGGCGTTGCATTATTCTCACCATTAGGCTTGTCACGTCGACTTTAGGTCAGAGCCAACTTGTGCGTTTCTTTGTCTGTGCAGCCACTGGGCTAACTTGCACTTACTTAGTTAAGTAGTTAAGTACTGCCTTTACTTGGTACAAGGAAGTAAAAATGAAGTGAAATGAAAGCAAATAAGAGGATAATGGCTGAAAAGGAAAATGGAAAGCTGATACAATATTGTTACGAAATGCCCAGCTGCGGTAAGATAACTTATCCGCGAAGCAGAACATAATTGCAAACAAATAAATGATTAATTATTGCTGCGAACTAACCTACAATATCATTTAAATTCTAAGAGCATTTATTTGTTTGCAATTAAATTTCATTATTTAAATTTAATTAACTTTAAATTTGCTTTTTACGAATAGAGAATGTTTGTTATATGTATATATACATATATACCTATGTGTGTACGTACAGACGGCACGAAACGCTTTATTTTGAATAAATTTTTCAATCCGTTTAGGAAAAAAAGAGTCCTTCATTGTGGCCATACGTCCAGAGGTCACGAAAAAAATAGTCAAAATGGTTTCGGGAACGGACAAAATGGAGAGAATTTTAGAATAAGTATTTTATGTGGCTGTCGCTCAAGTGTCTAACAATCATAATAATTAACAAATTGTAGTCAGAACATTTCAGATTATAGTTTAACGACCCTGAAAGAAGAGTTTATAACTGACCATTTTAAAATTTTTAAAGTAATAAATATGCATATATATATAGATAGATATACATGCTACAGATTAGAAGTTGCAAAATTAAAATTTAATAATTGTTAAAATCGTGCAGTATGCTGCGAAATT